TAAACTTTTGCACAGCAAAGGAAACCATAAGGAAAACAAAGCAACAACCTACGGAACAGGAGAAAATATTTGCAAAATGATGCAACTGACAAAGGTTTAATTTCCAGAATATATAAAGAGTTCAGTGAACTTTGAATGCACGTAACTTTGGGGGCTTGATTTGGTAAGGGATCCCCAGGAAGTTATCCCACATTTCTAGGGAATGGTATCTGCTGGTTCTTTTAATTTAACTTGGCAAAAATATTTCCTTTAGAAGCCAAGGCTTTAAAACACTTTTAAAATACTTGGCTAATCAGGGGAATAATGCTTCTGGATGCTTTTGGATGGCTGGTACCATGATTTACAGTTAGAAAAACAACAGTATTTGATTACATTGAGCTTCAAACTTTTCCTTTGATTAATGAAAATCTTCCTGGCAAATACTTTTTAGTAGGCTCTGTTTTTACTTAGTCCAAGAGAGTCTTCTGTTTGGACCTAATATGAATGCCTTCAGGAATCTCCCTTAATCATATTGAATATGTAGTATCAGTGGGGCATCCAGTTGGAAATGTTTCGTTGTCAGTTGATGTGAGAAACTGTATGTTTAGTGACAATTTAGTGAGAAAAGGATAAGAGTTTTACCAAAAAAATGGTGACGTTTTAGCAATTTTGCGAAAGAGTTTGTTATATTTTCACTTAGAAGAAAGATATTGGGCATGGTTAGGGTTTCTGAAGCCTCTTATTAGAAAGGCAGAACCTGGAGACATTTAGGACATGAAAAGCAGTTAATGAGAGAAGTTAATTTTGGTCCAGTGGAAATAAGGAGAAGCCAAAGGGCCTCTGACGCAGAGAGGGAGGAAGAAAGATTGCCCTAAATGTGGTATTAGCACTTCCTACCCAAGAGGTGTGAGGCTCAAAATTCCAGGACTGTGACAGGTGCAGTCGGGCAAGGCCAGGCAGAAGACAGCTGGAAAGGATGAGTCTGGGACCGGCACGTAGGCTCATCCCTGGGGATGGATCTAACCACGGGTTAGTGCCTGAGCCACCCTCATGTCTCAGTCAGAGTCCAGACATGGGAACCTCCCACCCTGTTCCTGTCCACTGCAGTTAATTGGGCCAGGTTAGTCTGCATCCTGAGGACACAGAGCTCTGTCTGGTTGCCGTTGTGGCAAATGAGCCTGGCTTGACTCAAGACAGCCCGGATCATCACATTTCAAGGTGCCATTGGGCTTTGCAACTCGTAAGAAGATCTCTCTTGCCTTTTAGCGTGATCGGGATTGCATTCTTTTGTGTGACATCCTTGGTTGGGGAGTCTTCATCGAGCAGGCCTGGGCCAAAATGATTACTGACAATGTTATACACATAAATTTCCAAGCTGGATAAAAAGTTGTTTTATGGAGAGGAAAATGTGGCCTGTGTAATTTCCCCCTCATCCTTTTGGAGGCCTTCTGGTTTTATGCTCTATGTCTATAGTAGATTTTCAGTATTCCAGGTTCATCCCAAAGAGAAAGATGTAGATGAAAAGACGTTTTACTGACAGCATACAATTCTGCTGGATCTGGGGAAAATGGGCCTGTGCTATTACTTCTTTTATCAATATTTTTAAAAACAGTATTTACATATTCCATTTATATTGTTTTGAAAGTTACTGCATTATTAAGTCAGTCATTGATTAATTCATTTGATGTCAATGTTTATTGAGTCCCTATTCTGGAAGAGGCTCTATGCTATAAATAGTTGGGGTACCAAAGATGAATAAGACATAAGGAACTCAGCAGACAGCATCAGAGACAAGAATGCAAAATCAAAGGAGTGAAAATGTTGGCAGTAGCAGAAGAGAAGTAAAGAAAAACCTGCCATCGGGTTCAGAACAAGGATATGTTATTTCCAGTGTGTGGGGATTAGGAGTGGCTGGTAAGAGAGAAATTCATGCAAAAGGTGACCTTAAGATGCCCTAATCACTTCATACCCATTAGGATAGCTACTGTTAAAAAAAAGAAAAGTACGAAGTTTTAGAAGTTTTAGGAAGGATATGGAGAAATTGGAACCCTTGTGCATTGTTGGTGGGAATGTAAAATAGTGCGACCATTATGGAAAACAGTAAGGCCAGTCCTCAAAAAACTAGAGATAGTATTACCATATAATCCAGCAAGCCCGCTTCTGGGTAGATACCCAAAAGAATTAAAAGGAGGGTCTCACTGAGATATTTGAACATCCATGCTCATAGCAGCATTATTCACAATAGCAACCCAAGTGTCAATCAACAAATGCATGAATAAACAAAATGTGGTATATACTCAGTGGAATATTATTCAGCCTTAAAAGGAAGGAAATTCGGATACATGCTACAAGATGGATGAACCTCAGGGACATCATGCCAGTCACAAAAGACAAATACTCTATGATTCCAGTTATATGAAGTATCTAGAGTAGTTCAGTGCATAGACACAGAAAGTGGAATGGTGTTTGCCAGGGAGTGGGGGGGGGCAGGGAAAAAGAAATGAAGAGTTATTGTTTAATGGGCGTAAAGTTTCAGTTTTGTGAGACGAAACATTTCTGGAGATTGGTTGCACATCAGCGTGAATGTACTTCACATCACTGAACTGTACACCTAAAAATAGTTACAATGATAGATGTTATCATGTTATGTTTATCTTACCACAATTTTTAAAAATGCAGTGTTTAATAATGCAGGGATGGATGGAGGATACTTGACACCTGGGAACATTTGCCTGTGCATGTACTGTTCATTCATTCATTCATTCATTCATTCATTCATTCATTCTACAACTATGTATTGAATGCTTGCTGTCTGTTGGGCACTGAGCTAGTTACCTGGGCTGCAGTACTTAATAAGGTTTATAAGACACTGAATCTGTCAATGTCATGCTTGCTAACCACCCCTCCCCTCCCCAGGCGCTAAGCTTCTGTAGTTAAATATTCACAGCTGCTACCTACTGACTTGAATCGTGCATTAGACACTAGTAAACAAACAGTAAAAAAGATCTGAGGTTGATTGTGGGGGTGGTGTTGACGGCACGGTGATGAAATGGAAAGAGATGGGTAACAGAATAGAAATTAGAATTGAAAACTGCAAGGCAGCGCTCTCTAAGGATATTAAAAAGTAAAGGACTCCTATTTGAGGCTGCCAAATGAAGAGCTAAGTCATTTAGAATGGGAAAAAATGGCAAAGTCAGATGTACTCCACCCAAGGAGCCAGTATTTTGTGAATATTATGACAAATGTAGTTTGAGAGCCACTGCCACACGATTGCGGTCACTGGTAATGAGTGGGAGTGGGGAAGGTTGTAAGATTTGAGCTAAAAGGAAAGACGAGGCTTGTGAGGGGGAGGACTGTTGACAATCAGGGTGGTCTGGCTGTTTGGGTGGGCAGTGGGAAGCAGGAAACGTGAGCTTCCTTCACCAAGAGACCCTGAAAGCTCTATCTTCAACTCACTTTATCTCATCCTGGTTTGTTTCTGTTTTTTAAATGTCATAGGCTTCATTCTATCTCTCTTTCCAATAATTTTTTGCTTCTTTTCTTCCATATATACCCTGGAACACTCTGTTCATTCATCTCAAGATGTTACTGAGTGCAGCTCCATCCCAGGCACTGTGCTGTGTGCTCTGGCCGTATAACACTCCAATTCCCTTCTACCACCTTTAATCAGTTGCACATGCTTAGCAAATCCTGGGCCAGTATAGTTTCTGCTTCTATGCTTGGTCAGCTGAGACACGCAAACTTAGCCTCATCTACCTTTTTGCTTACCTCTTTTCTCTCTATCTTCTTCAAGGGTCGTCACTGACACCTTGCCTTCTACCTGTGCCTCTCATCCCACTTGCTCTGCTTCTTGACTTTGTTTTCTTTCCCCTCTCTTCATACCTTCCACCATTCCCTCTCTACTGGCCCATTCCCTTCAGTCTCCATGAGACCTTCTCAGGTCCCTTCCATTCTCAACATCTTTTTTTTTTTCTCTCTTATCTTTACATTCTTTCATGACGACCCTATCTCTTTCTCTTCCCATTCTCATCCAAGTTCTCAAAGGAATGGCCTTCACTCCTTTTCATTTCCTTATATTCCATCTACTTTCCACCCACTGGTTTTGACTTGTGCCCATTCTCTCTCCCAAAATGCCTTGCTGAGTGCCCTCCTTTTCAAATCCAGCTTTGCCTTATCAATCCTGGTTGTTTTGGATGTTTTTGCCTTGTTGGCACTACTGACTATGTTCTCCTTCTTAAAGCTTTCTACTTCTTTAAACCTTTTACTTCCCCATTTCCTTGGTTCTCCCAGAACTTTCTGACTCTGAATTCTGTTTCTTTTCTGGGATGTGCTCCCTCCATGAAATTTTTCAAGGTTGGTGTAACCATTTGTATTCTTCTGTTTTTCTCTTTCTACATGTTCTTAAAGAGGAGTATTGAATATTGAATAGGGTCCTCAAATTATAGTCAAATTATAACAACTGATACCCAGGGTTACCTGGTAACAGTGACATAAAAATTTGAGTTGTCTTTCTGCACATGTTCTATGTTGTTCATCAGGTCGTCTGAGTTTCAGATGTTCCAGCTGTTTTATGCTTTGTCTTCATTTCCCAAAGACCCTTATTGTGGTCTAGAATCGGAATGAGCATTGGTCTGTAATGGTTCTTAATTAATTGTGAATCCTTGAAAAAAATAATTCTATTAGAAAAAAATTCTATTAGAAACCAGTTTATTTCATTTTGTCATTTTCTGGATAATATATTCTAGTGTAGGCAGTCCATTTTTTAAGCAAGTTTGCAATGAACAATTTCCCCTCAAGGTTAATGTAATAGGCAAACACCTTTTGCTGCAACAGACAGCAAGAAGTAATGAAAGATTAGCTTACATTATGATTCATTATTTCAAAATGTCAGAATAAAGTGGATCTGCTGCATCTTCCAGGCCTCTAATTCTTTAGAGGAGAGTGCGTGTTTTGTTTTTCTAATGTTAATGGATTCACTGGGTTTTTTTTTGTTTTTGTTTTTCTCTTCCTATTTTCTTCCCCAGGCCAAATGCAGATAATCGGCGCCAGGGTGGCAGAGAGAGACTGGCCAGCACCGGTGACAAGGGAAGCGTGGCCATGGAATCTGCCAAGGAGACACGCTACTGTGCCGTGTGCAATGACTACGCCTCGGGCTACCATTATGGAGTTTGGTCTTGCGAAGGCTGTAAGGCCTTCTTCAAGAGAAGTATTCAAGGTAACAGTATGTTTAAAACAACGTATTCCATTTTCAGTCCTAAGGGGAAGCAACTGAGGAAGGCATATGATGAGCCACTTGTACAAAACACTGATACCTAGTAGGTCCAGTGGTGTCTATGGTAAAACAGGGGGAAGAGACAGGATCCCAGGAGACAGATTTGGCAGATGTCAGGGCGGTTGTGGCTGAGTAATTATGCTCCCTCCTTTTGGCAAGATCTAAACAGTCTTGAGCAAATCTACAGGAAGAAGATTTCAATAGCTGGGTCTCTGAGATACTGTCCATGCCATGATTGGGGAACGGCAGGTGGATCTTTATGCATTGCAGGCAACTAGGCTTATATGATATAGTGTGATATTAATTATCTATACATAATTATTTCTCCAACTTGGCTTCGTGCAGAGAAGCA